GTGAAGGGATGTGTCTTGAAACCACTTAGGAGCTTTCTTGCTGGTATGTTTAGGGTCGTTATCCTGTTGGAAGACCCACAACAACGGCATTTCGTATTCTGCATAAGACAGCATCACTGTTAGCAAAATATCGCAATAGATATGTTGATCCATAATACCTTTTATCCAATGTTTTGGACCCACTCCGTAATAAGAAAAGCATGCCCAAACCATGATACTCGTTCCACCGTGTTTTATGGTCTTGCAGGTGAAACTTGGGCGGCATTCCGAATTGGGGGGTCGCCGTACATAGGATCGAGATCCTCTTCCTCCAAATAGCACGATTTTGCTTTCATCCGACCATTGGATGTTTGGGCATGCTTTTCTTATTACGGAGTGGGTCCAATACATTGGATAAAAGGTATTATGGATCAACATTACTATTGCGATATTTTGCTAACAGTGATGCTGTCTTATGCAGAATACGAAATGCCGTTATTGTGGGTCTTCCAACAGGATAACGACCCTAAACATACCAGCAAGAACGCTCCTAAGTGGTTTCAAGACAGATCCCTTCACCTAATGGATTGGCCTGCTCAGTCTCCAGACTTAAACCCGATAGAGAATCTTTGGTCTGATGTAAAGAAATATGTTTCCAATGCAAAACCAAGGATTAATCATGAGCTCTGGGCCACCATTCAAGAATCATGGAGCAGTATTCCACGGGAAAGGTGCCAAAATTTGGTCAATTCTACGCCGAGACGTTGTGCTGCTGTCATTGCTGCCAAAGCTTTTACAACGAAATATTAATACACTATATCGATAAGGAATACAAATAAATACAAATATTCCAGAACTTCCCGTATTTTTTTCGTTTTTTTCGTTTTCTTAAGTTATTTTTGAAATAGTGCTATTTTTGTTGCCGCCTAAAATGTTCAACGTTCACATTCTTAATGTAAATATTTCAATTTCATGTTATTATCGACGACACTTGCAGTGTATTTCGATAAATTAGAGCCTAAAGTAAAAATAAAAGCCTTAAACAAGTTAAATATATGAATAGTTATAAAACAATTAATCAATAAAGAAAAATATATGTCATGGTGCTATTTTTTTTGCCGCAACTGTACATATGTAATGTATGTATGCAAATTTCCCTACTTCAATTATAATACCCTGTAAGTGTTTAAAATTAAAAAAAAAAAAAAACATACATATGTACATATGTATATACATACATAACATACATATATAACATACATATGTACATAAGTAGCTTTTTGCTAATTATCAATAAGATCTTGTCCCCAATAACATTGACCCAGATTGGTGCACATTTTCAATTCCATACATACAAACATATGTACATACATATTTACATATATGTATGAATCCATTTATCTATATATTACATATATGTATATATTACATATATGTATATATTACATATATGTATATATTACATATATGTATTTATTACATATGTATACTTATTGTTTATAAAGATATTAAACCACAAAACATTTCGTAGCTCGAACCCTATTACTAGAATACTGTCACATATATACATACATACATACATATGTCTGATAGCTATGTACATATGTATGTATAAATAGTGATAGTCTTAAAGATAACAAGAATAAGCGGGGGTGCTAAAAATAAATTAAATCTGACTTGGCGATTTTCCTTGTAATACAAGGGGAATCGCGTCATTACACGTCACTAAAACGACCATGTTTAAGAACGAAGCACGACTAAATAAATAAAAACCCGAGAACATTACTGTGCTGAGCGGTTCAACGCCCTTATTGTTGCCATAGTCATTAGCCTTAAAACAAGACGTGCACCATTTGCTTTACATACATATGTACATATATGCGTCAGCTGTGCTTTCCTGTCATATTCGCTGGAAGTGCACACTCACCTTAGCTTCGATTATTTAGGTAGTCTAAAGTCGTCCTGGTGCAAAATATGAAAATAGCTCGCGCATACACCCGTTGAGTAATAAGGTGCACTCTTGAATGCTTAACAGTGCTGTTGCTTTTACTGAAGTTGGCTATTACATGACAGTCAAATTTCGGTTTCTGCTCATCTGTCTCTGTAACTTTAAGTGAGGAGCGTGTATTTACAAAGAAATTATCTATCTACACAATAATATATTTAATTTATTTTAATATGTTCGTTTTATTTTTTTTTTTGTTCAAAATATGTACAAAAACAAAACGCGAAAAACAAAAGACCGTCGGTCGATTTCCTTCAAAAACTCGACAGTATGACCGTTGCTATACGACCCAATAAATGCATGAAATTGAAAGAAATATGTGCGCAAAATAGGCTACAGTGAGTTAGCGTCGAAATGGAACGGTGGGAACTGGAACACGGAGGAGGTTTTTTATTTTTAATTTATTTCGTAAATAACGCACTAATTTGAACAAAATAAAGTTTATAAGTGCTTAAAATTTAATTTACAATTGATTTTTAATATGTTTGAGGGGATTTGACCTTTAGGTCTAAATAAAAATAAAACCTTTGAAAAATATTGCTGTCGTTATTTTGTATATATCTCCGCTTAACGAACTTGTGCATATATACCCGGTATGCCAGGATAAAGAACATTTATTGTAGTTTTACCCTGCAAAGTATCATTAAATTCTATCCAACAGTTTTTGAGAAAATTGCATAACAGTGAACTAACTTCGGGTTCTGCTCCATACGAAATAGGGCAGAAAACATTGTAAGTCCTATGACGAATTTGTGCCAATATGCACAGCTTACTATGGGAAGTTTAACGAATATTTCATTCGTTTCTATCACTCAGTTTTTGAGAAAATAGCATAGCAGTGGGGCTGATAACAGAGGCGCGAGCTTTGAAAATGGAGCCAGCTCTGTACCTGTTTAGAACCAGTTGCCGAACCAGACAGCAGAACCATGTTAAAAAATACTAGATTTAAAACATTAGCAATTTATAGTTTCTTCCCACTCAACGCATTTGTGATTTGTGATTTTTCGCAGATACGCAACTCGTGTTCCAACAGAGCTGCGTCAAAGTGCATCAGCATCCGATTACAGCTGATCAATCAGCTGTGTCTCATGAAAACATTAACAAAGACGGCTGAAGCTGCCGATGTGGGAGTAAAATTAATAGTATATAAACTATTTAGGCTGCTTAACAACAGCAAAAGCACAGATTGCGTCAGATTATATCCGCACTAACTTAAAATGAATGAGATGACGACAAATTTGAGTTTCTATAATGATTTTTCTCTAAAGCGTAGTACTCTGACGACGAAAATCCGCTGTAACACGTGTGGTAACGGAATCGCTCTTTATTTGGCTATTAAGGAAAAACCATAAAACGCCAAGAAAATGTACCTTTTATGGCTTTAAAGGCTTATCTTTGGTCACACTGGACAGCTGTTTGTAAACAAATATTCCAAAAAAATAATTAAAATATTAATAAATATCCCATTAAAAAAAATCCATATTACGGGCTTCGCCTTGACAGCCCCTATCAATGCCACTGTTTTCCTTCAACTTTCCCTCCATTAGGGGTGTAAGAATAAAGCAAATGAATTATTGTTACACTCAGAGATCAGCAGTTTACTATCTTGATCTGACAACGCCATTCAATTTGAACAGGCATCATTTTCGTCGTCAGAGTATCGGCAAAATCGACGAGGCACAAATTTCTTCTTCTTCCTTATTTCACACCGTTTTTTATGGAGTTTGGCCGCTTCCCAAATCTATAAAATAAAGTAGAATTAGGCGTTTTATATTAAATAGTAGCAATTGGGGACACTTTGGCGCAAGAATATACACAAAAAAACAAACGCCAACAACTATTTTGGGCATGCTTGTAGCTTTGGCGCATCATTTTAAATTCCATATTTCGTTTGTTCCTAGGGTCTTCCCACACAACATTAAAGCACATTCAACATCATTTGAACAAACGGTCCATAAGGTTTTGCCGTACCGAATTTTCGCAAATGGACCGGCGTTAGATCAACATTAAAATCTAATCACGGTTTGTTTGGCGATAGTTAGGCGATAGTTTTTCGGTGCAACTCTGATTCTTCTTCTTAATTTGACCATTCACCACGAAAATGTAAACAAATTGGCAAGGAACAAATGAGATACGGAATTTAAAACGCGGCGCCAAAGCTACAAGCATGCCCAAAATAGTTGTTAGCGTTTTTTCTGTATATTCTTGCCCCAATATGTCCCCAATTGTTACTATTTAATATAATCTTCTTACCTCTACCTTATTTTAAAGATTTTGGATGCGTATACCACCTATAGACACTCTTCGGGGAATTTGCTCTTTGTTAGAGAAGAATCATTAGAAAAACTAAAATTCCTTGTCATTTAATTCATTTAAATTTATTGCGGATAAATTCTGACGCAATCTGTGCCTTTTGCTGTTGTACAACAGCCAAAATAGTTGGTAAATGCTCCATTTCAAATTTGCAACTGCCAATTCGACAGCCTTTGTTTACGTTTTCATGAGCCACAGCTGATCGATCAGCTTTTCGGATGTTAAATGTACTTTAATGTTGTGTGGGAACACGAGTTTCACATTTGTGAAAAATCCCAAACGTTCCTCACAAATGTGCTGTGTGGGTGGCGCATAAATATCATACTCCCTTCGGGACAGGGTGGCATCCCTAAGCTGACTTGGCATCTGTTCCTACATATTCATATCTATAGAAATCTATCGATATCACGGCAGATAGGCCTAAAGTGGCCATACGATTTATTAGCGAACAGGCAACCACTTTTACAGGTCTGGCATCTCGGTTAATACGTATGTATGTAAGTATTGTTTATATTTGTTACCGCAATCACATTGTTGGCAGCAGAACTGAGACCATTAACAATTAACTTAAGCAAATGTGAGTACTCAATAAAAGAAGTAAGCGGAGTATATCAAAGAAGTTGTTGACGGTTTTACCTGTGAGTCATCGTTAAAATTGAAAGCAATTCCATAAGTGCACCAAGTTAAGGACTTTGAACCCACTCAGTAGTAGCTGTCAAAAAGCTTATACATAATACATTGACGTGATTTTACTGCATTTATGTGACTGAGACCGTGCTGTAGGGTCATTGCCGATATCAAAAATATCAATACTAGTTATCCTTGGCTTCATAAATCAGTCAATTAGACTTGGCTTGGCTAATACATAGCAGTAACTTTCAGTGCTGTAGAAATCTTTCATTAACCCACAAGGTGAGATGTTACTGATTAGAGACTTCACTTCCTGCCATGCTTAAGATTATACCTTTAGGTGCAAATTCCAAAAAAACTCTGTCCTTAGCCATAGATTTTGACTAACAAATCATTTATAATACTGCATATTTACAGAAATATTTCCCGTATAAATATGGCCACCGTTGAGAAAATATCCACCGAGCAAAAAGCTAATCCTATCAAGTCTCTTATTACGGGTGGATTTGGTGGGATTTGCAATGTTTTGTCTGGTCATCCACTAGACACAATAAAGGTAAATTCAGCTACATATTATTTTTGCGTTTTGTTAACTTTTGTTGTTTCAGGTGCGTTTGCAAACAATGCCGCGGCCGGCGCCTGGTGAACAGCCAATGTATAAAGGCACCTTTGATTGCGCTGCGAAAACCATAAAACAGGAAGGCGTGCGTGGTTTATACAAGGGCATGTCCGCCCCTTTGACAGGTGTTGCTCCTATTTTTGCAATGTGTTTTGCTGGCTACGCGTTGGGAAAACGTCTCCAACAACGGGGAGAAGATGCTAAGCTATCATACTCTCAGGTCTTTGTTGCCGGCTCGTTCTCTGGCCTGTTCTCCACCTTGATAATGGCACCCGGAGAGCGCATAAAAGTGTTATTGCAAACGCAGCAGGCGTCAGGAGGTCAGCGCAAATACAATGGAATGATTGATTGCGCGGGAAAGCTGTATAAGGAGGGAGGCCTACGCAGCGTTTTTAAGGGCAGTTGTGCAACAATGTTAAGAGGTAAGTTTTAGTACGGTAATTACTCTTTAGGTATATACACTCAGCGTCATATCTCTACGTACAGGGCAAATATTTTTTAACTTGTCACTTTGACAGATAAAATCTTAGGCTAGACGTGATATAAAAACAACAAGATAACGATCCCAAGCATACAGCTCAAAATATCAAGCTCTGGTTGCTGTATAACGTGAAAAATCAACTGAAAACACCGCCACAGTCTCCAGACCTGAACCCCATCGAGCACCTGTGGGATTTATTGGAACGCAGAATTAGGCAGCACTCAATTACATCCAAAGCAATGCTAAAAACCATATTGCAGCAGGAATGGGACCAAATAGCCGAAGCTGAGACTGAGAAGTTGGTTAATTCTATGCCAAGACGTCTCGCCGAAGTCCTAAAACGGAAAGGTTATCCAACCTCATATTAAATTGCGATAAAATGGTCAATAAATGCAACTATATTCAGCTGTACGCAAACTTTTGAAAGCATGTTATTTTAGAGGGTTTTGGCGAAACACGAATTATAGGGGTACCAAAGAAGATAAAAATTTTCTAAAATATGGAATATGAAGGTAATTGCTACGACTATCCGTAACAAAAATCATAATGTTTTTATATCACGTCTAGCCTAAGATTTTACCTGTCAAAGTGACAAGTTTAAAAATATTTGCCCTGTACGCAGAGATATGACGCTGAGTGTACAATAAACAAGGATCTAACGGAATATATCCTTCCATTATTCCGTAACATATTACTATTTATATATGTATATTTCTATAATGTCGAATTCCACTTTGGTACGCATTCAAAGTTAAGGCCTAGTACTCTGACGACGAAAATCAGCTGTAACATGTGTTATAGCGGCCAAACTCCATATAAAAAACCGGTGTGAAAAATAAAGAATTTTTTTTGGCTCGTCGATTTTGCCGGTACTTTGACGACGAAAATGATACCTGTTAAAATTGAATGGCGTTGCCAGATCAAGATAGTAAACAGCTGATATCGGAGTGTAACAATAATTCATTTGATTTATTCTTACACCCCTAATGGAGGGAAAGTTGAAGGAAAACAGTGGCATTGATAGGGGCTGTTAAGGCAAAGCCCGTAATATGGAATTTAACCCACAAAGGACAGTTTAATGCAGTATTTATTAACAAATTTGTTTACAAACAGCTGTCCAGTGCGACCAAAGAAAAGCCTTAAACGCCATAAAAGGTACTTTTTTTAATGGAATTTCATGGCTTTTCCTTAATTTTTTTTTGTAACACTGGTTACAGAGCAAAATATACAGCGATTCTGCTATAACACGGGTTACAGCGGATTTTCGTCGTCAGAGTAATAGGCTTAAAACAAGAAAGGAAGCTAAATTTGGCACGCCAATATTTGTATACCCTTGCAGTTTGCAATTGGATCATTAAGAATCGATCCATTCTGATTAAATTAATAGAAAATAATAAGAGGAAAATATATAAACATTTTTATATTTATACGTAGCAAATAATAATTTCGTTTTGATAAAATTAAAAAATATAGTTTAATCGAATAAAAAACTATATTTTAGATTTGATATTTCTAATATAATAAACATTTTCAATATATATGCTGGAAAAAACAAAGAAATGTCAAGTAATAATTCTATATGTTATTGTCGTCCGATCCAACCGGTTCCGACATATATAGCATACTCAGAAGAGTATATGCAAAGTTTCATTCAGTAGCTTTAAAACTGAGGGACTAGTTTGTGTAGAAACGTTGTGTAGTTGTGTAGAAACATTGCTTACATATGTTATTTATAATTTTACCTTACAGCTCTTGCAAATGTTAATGTTTATCCAAGTTGGTCCTTCCACACATGCTACGATCTTCACATAGTAACTCCCATTTCGGTCATTGTGTATGAGCCGAGGTATGAACTTGCTAATGGCCGTATGACACTCTAATGCAGTTTTCATTAATTAGCTACTTCATTAGAACTTAAAAAAAAACTTTTATGTGTAATTTTGCTTGGATTATTTTGGTAACACGACTACGGTCACACCGACCGTAAAAGGTAAACAAAAAAAAAACGGCCGCCATTTGCGGCGTATTACTATGAATTTCTGAATTCCTCGTCAAAGTATTCTTGCATAAATAAATGCAGAATCCTTTAAAACCTATACCTTTTTAACCTATACTGCTTAAAATGTTTTTAATTATTTAAAAAAAATTTTTAAATTAATTTTACAGCGCAAGAACCTTGCCACCACAAAACATATTATTTTTCCTAATTTTCTAATATTTTTTCAGTTCAAAAACCAGCGAAATGATATAAAAATAAAATTCTCATTGTGAGACCACTTTGAGTTTCGCGCTAGAGGTGGAGAAACATCGATGCGAACATCGACGACATCGATGTTTTCGAAACATCGGAAACATCGATGCTTAGCGGGGCAACATCGATGTTTTTCATTTATTTATTGTATTAATTATATTTTAGATTACTACAGATGGCGACTCCTTTAAAACGTTTGCTAAAAAATACTTCTGCGTTCTCGCATCTTTGCACGAATCTGAAAGAGTTTTCAGTAAAGCTTCACAACTTATAAGTGAGCTTCGCACGCGGCTCCTCTTCCTTAAACAAAAACAAACATGGAAAAATGTATAAATATATATACTAGAGTTCGGGATAGCAATATCCTAAAAAACTATTATTTTCTTTGGACCATGTATATATTGAAACATTGATATTAAATTTGTTTTTGTTTTTAGTTCTTATTTACAAACTAAGAAAAAGAAACTATATACCAAAGAAGTGGAACATGAATATCATGAAGTTTTATTTTAATTTGTTTTTTGTTTTCTTTTTAATTTAACAAGTGATTAAAGAAATGAATATTTTTGTCGAAAATTTGACTTTTATTTTTGTAATATTACAAATTAAAATAAAGTTCAAATACACTAAAATAATTGCTAATTTTTTTTCGCCAAAAACATCGAAAACATCGATGTCCCTGAACATCGATGTTTCTCCACCTCTATTTCGCGCTCCAATGAACTTGCAAATACACTTTTTAATTACAATTTTCTTAATTAAACCCGTATTTTGTTATCGAGTATCTAGTGTATTTTATGTAGATCTATCGACTATTGCGGCAATGAAGTAGCTAATGCATTATTCTAATGCATTAGAGCGCCATATAGTCTCCTTGCTCGCACTTGTGTAAAACGCTATAGCGCTGTCAAATTTTTAATGACGCCTCTAATTAATGTGCACCATCTTTGTAAAGCTTTTCCATGACTCGATTCTTGTAGTTCTTCGTGTTCGCTTCTTGGGCTTCCTGAATCTGTATCCTTGCTTCTATTCGCATCTGGTTTCTTTCTTGATCAAAATCTGTGGTCACTTTCTCTTTCAGCAAAGACAACACATTATCGCTGGCTTTGTTGTGCATTTGTACACCGAACAATAATTGAAACAGTGTCTTCTTTGTTGAGCAGTGTATACCACTTGGATGGATCTTCAGCGCACAGTTTAACCATTATTGAGATTATGCATCTGTTTACACGTTCAACTTGTCCATTTCCTCTTGCAATTCCTGTTGTAGTCACACATGTTTAATTCTATTTTTCGTCACGTGTTCTTGAAATTGATTCTAGGTAAAGGCGATACCTTATCGCTTATGACCATTCCTGCAATTGGTAGTGAACCTCATCGCTGCCCGTGCTCTTTATTGGAAATAACCAAACAAACTTGATGAGTGCATCCACGGTTGCAAAGATAAACCGATACTGCTTTGACGTTGCGTCTATTGGTCCGAGGTGATCTACATGAAGATCTGTATTGTCGATACAATACATCTGACCTTTTTTTCTTTCCGGTTGTCTTTTTTATCATGCTGATGGCTACTTTTTTTCTCCGTATGTGGAATCCAAAACTGTTGCTGTAAGAAATGCACAGTTTTCTGCAGAGCAAAGTGACCAATATCATGTGCTTCCGTTATTAATTCTTTCTCCCTTGATTTAGGGACAACCATGACATCATTTCCACTGGATAGCGACTTAAATTGTTAACGTGTTTCATTTTATCTCTTGCTCGATGCTCAACTTGGAATGTAATCCATTCAGTTACTTCTCTGGGTATATCCTTCTTCACAGTCTGTGAGAACGCTGCGCACAGAGAACGGTGAGCATTTTGAACTTGACTCCCAACAGGTAATGGCTAAACTTTTTGACGGCTAAAGTATGCCATTTGTGGACGCATCAGTGTGTAGTTCGGGTTGTGCTTTTCTGCTATACTGCAGCAGGACTGGTTCGTTTGATAGGATATCCTATATTTGGTTCATTGCGCCTATCTGCTCGGCTTAAAATAAAAACTCGTCTTTCTTTAGTAAATTTGTTGCCGTCCGAGCTATTATTGCGTACACTGAAAAATCCTGTCAGTCCAAGGAACTATTGGACATCTTTTATCAAATACTTAGCCGCTTCCTGCAGGATTTTCTTTAAGGGGTTATCCGGGTTTTGAAATTTCAAAAAATGCATTTTTTTCAAACTTTTTTATATAATAGTACAAAGTGTCTGGAATGTTGTCCGAAAATTTCAAGTCGATCGAAGCAAAACTGTAGGAATGGGAGAAATTTAAAGCCCAGCGCGTCGTATGAGTCACAACTGGCAATTAAAACTTTAAAAGCGTTTTTCTCAAAACCACTTTCTTGAAGTCGGTAGTCAAGATTTCTCGAAAACTACTGGACCGATCGACTTCAGATTTTCCACACTTCTTCTAGACATGTTTTTCTTGTCTCTGAACGAAGGATTTTTTATATCTTCAATAAGAACCAATTTTATAACCCAAAATATGGCCAAAATTGACGTAAAAACATTGACATTTTTCATGAAAAACGATCCCAAAAATTCAATTTTTAATTTTTTAAAAAATCCTTCGTTCAAAGACAAGCCAGACACATAAGCTAACAGAAAAATTTTGGTTTTTTGATTTCAAATAAAAATTGAAGGAGAAATCCTGCCTACCTATTTTACAGAATTTAGTTCAAACCTTATGTATTAATGTAGAATAAATGAAATTTGCAAAATTGTCATAGGATCTTTTAAAAAAATTCTGGAAAATAGGCCTTTTTTTGTGGTTCTAAACCCGGATAACCCCTTAACTTGATTATGCATTTCTCGTTTGTTTGCGCAAATATGATATGATGTAATAAAAGCAGTAAAGCGAGGCACAGCAGCGCCTTTTCTCATTTTGCGTTATTTGACAGGTAAGTGTTGTAAAATGTATGTCAGTACTGCATAATGTACCACGCCCACAAATTAGCCTTTTTTTTTATAGGGAATATGCAATACATTATAAGTAAACTAGATTGGTAAACCTTGATCTGTATAAGAGCTTAAAGTAAATACATATACATACATAAGTAACGTAACATATAAATTGCTGTCTAAATAAAGCTTTTCCTTATTTTGTTCTGGAGTCCAACTGGAAACATAACTTTTCTTATTTAGGCACACTCTGTTATAATATAACCAACAGGTTATGGGCCCAGGCCATTTCTAAAAAAAAAAAAAAGTTAATTTGTAACCACTCCAAGATAACCTCATGTGTTGAGAGTAGCCGATTATTACTGTG